GCGCTGGCTCCTGTACTCCGGAGCAGACTTTACCCCTCGGAGGAGGGAACTGGAGTCCAGCAAAGCCCAGCTCAAGTCTCCAGCCTCCACAAACCCAGTATCCAACCTTGCCAGGGCGAAGAGACCTTCACGAGGCAGAGAAGGGTTGTAGCTTCCTCTCTTGCAGGCAGCTTTGTTCAGGGCAATATTGTTCGACACCACTAAACTCACACCCTCCCTGCCCAGAAAATCCTGCCAGCCCAGAGGGTACCAAGAATACACAATGAAACATACTAAAACAAGCTCTGCTTGGGCAAAAATGCTAACTGGAATGAAAAGAAAACCTTCCCCAGTGATAGTTTTGATCCCGGGAACGCCCAAAGGTCTCCAGTGCATCAGCATCCCCCTTCAGTGGACAAAACCTGGAGCAGCGGTAACAGGTACGGGATAAAAACCACATGCACCCACCTCAGGCCAACCCTTCGGGCTGCGAGACCACTCTGGATGTGTCCACACCCTGGGCAACCAGCTCTGCAGCTGGAGACAGACTCCAGATGAAATCTGCTCTCAGCCTTCCAGCCAGGGCTTTGTACCTGCGCTTGTCCCCACCCCCGGCACAGCGTCCCCATCCTCGCCACCAACAGCGGCAGACCCAGCAGAGCAGGGATCCCACGGCAGACGCACCAGGCAGCAGTGTGCCATCACTCCTGCTTTTTAAAAGACGAGGAGATTTCTCCACCACAGTGAACCAGTGCTTTATTTGCAGCATTGCAAGAGGTCCAAGGCCAGCAGCGAGCTCCAGGCAGTGAGCCGATGGGTTGCACTTTTTATTGGTGCCATCAGAACCGGACCCGCGGGGCAGCAAGAGGTCTTGCTGTCTTCAAAAATCCTTGTGCATTGATTCCAAAGAGGAGGATTTGGTTTCTGGGACAGGGAGAGAAGGCCACGGATCGGATGGTAAATTAAGGAGAAATCAGTGTCGCAGCCCTTCCGAGTGCAGAGGGAATGCAGACGTGATTCCTGAAGCCTGAGTTGTGCAAAGTGCAGCCCGTGAGCCGGATTCTGGCCTCTCTTACACCCGTGTACAGCGAGGAGGAACCGTTCATAGCACAGTGATAAAGCTGGTGTAAGGCCAAGCCAGAATCAAGCCCAGAGGACCCAGGGAATCTGTAACCGTCTCTACTGTGTGCAAGGTGTGCAGGGGGGTAAAACACCTGGATGCTGCCGGGCAGGATCATAAAATCATCCTCGCCCTAGCCCCCTGGAAGGGTTTCTATAGGGCAATTCATACCATGAGCCCAGCCCAGAATAGCACCAGAGATTAACCCGGGCGCTGACCTCAGCTTATCCAGCGTCACTCCCTGGAAATGCCAGCGGAGAGGCTCTGGATTGTGCCGGAGCCACGTCAGAGCCGGCCCCTCCTGGCTGCGATCCGGAGAACGTCCTGGGCTGCAGTCAACGGAAAAACCGCCGCCAAGCCCAGCGGAGGCAGGACCGCGGGCAGGCACGCTGCTTCAACGGACAAACCCACAGGGCTCCGGAGCAGCTGCGAGGATGCTGGGGAGAACGGACGGCTGGGGAGGGGGTACAATTTTCTCCTCGGCTCCCCCGTGCTCCTCCCAGCACCCCAAACCAGAGCCACCCTGAGGGACTGGGGAAACCAGGAGCTTCTCTGGGGTCTCTCTTGCTCCCGGTGCCCCCGTCACCGGCCGGCGCACCCCAGGGTGTGAGCACAGGACCAGCCCAGGAGCGGTGTGCCAAGCAGAGCAGCTCGCTTACTTCTCCTCCAGGTCCTTGTCTGCTTTGCCTGAAAGAAGGGAAGGGAAAATCAGGGCTCGTGTGTCTTGCTCCAGAACCCCCAGCCCCTTTTATCTGGTTATTTTCCTACACGTAGCCAACATCTCCCAGCCACCGCAGCCCGACAACAGGGACAGCACGTCGTGGCCGGGGTTCTGCCCTGAACTTGGCCTCCCAAAGCCTTTTCCTGACTCGGGGGAAGCAAACAGCATGATAACCACAACGGCAAGAAGCCCTGCACCCCCCCCAGACCCGCTCCCTGCCCGTGGGGCAGCTGTAATATTCAGAGCATCCCCGAGGTGGGAACCAGCAACAATCCCAGCCCCAGTTATCCCACTGCAGGCCCACTGCAGGAGCTCCCTGCCCTTGCTCTGCACCCCCAGCAGAAAACCCGCCACACTCAGCTGCATCCAGGAGCTCCGGCATGCTCCGCATCCCACCGTGGGAGCCCCACCGAGCAGATGGATGCACGTGAGATGTATTTAGGATGCCAGCAGCTCCCTGGCTTATCTGCACGTCCAGCTACACCCTGACGAAAGCAGAGCATCGCACACAGTGGCTATCGGCACCTTCCCCCAAAAATAA